AGGTTCAGCTTTCAAACAGAAAAGGCTTGCACAGCTTGTCCCTCTCTGAACGCTCCCGCAGCAAAGACAAGGCAGGAAATAATGTGCCTTGACTGCAGTGTATTAATATTCCATCATTAGGGGAATATGGCCTCAAATAAAGCAGATTTCCTCGGGGAGAGCAGAGCAGGGATAAAGCCCACGCCACAGCCACAACGCAGCTCCTGCCACAAACAAGGCTCACCACTAAATGCAAATATTAAAAAGCCAATGTAGGGCTAAGTAATCACTTTATACCAACAGACCAAGAGATATTCATCTAATTATCCCCCTCCTTTGATCAAAGGCACTCTGCTATTTGAACAATTGTGTCGAGGGAGAAGCTCTACCTTTCAGATGCTCTGGAGAGCCTTGCACAAACATTCCTGGGGCTTGGCTGCCATCAGGAGTGACATGGGGAGAGGACAGACACCTTGCCAGCCTGCACATATGGTAACTGCACTGACCTTTCAGCTACTACACATTTGCACTATATTTAAGTGCTACTCAGGAAGCCAATATTGTGTATTATGTAACACGAGATTAAGCATTAATGAGGCAAGAATAAAGTTGTTTATCTAAACCCCAATCTAAAATTAAACAGAAGTTTATGCTGAAAGCTCACACTGCACTCGTTTTGCCTCCTAACATTAACAGAGCACAGCTTATTTAGTCTCCGAGGTAAGTCCCAGCAGCATTTAATTTGAAGAGGAAGATTTTACTATCAGAAGAGAGACCATTTTTCCTAAAGAAATGATGCATATTTAGTTCTTTTGTGCATAAATACAGCACACTGCAGGTATTTCAGTGTCAGGAAACAGCCAATATTCATAACTCCTGTTTACAGTGTGCTGTAGAGCTAAATAAAGGAGCATCCACCCAGAGGCAAGATCTTTTGACTGCACTCTGTCATCTCCTGCTCAGCAGCCAAACCAAGACTCACACACAGCACAGATACCTATGTGCTCAGCAGGGAAATTCAAGCCAAAATTAGCCTGTGTGCCTGCACAGAGATCCACTGTCCTCCTCCTGGGCTTCCTGCAGGGCCAGCGAGGAGCAGAGAGGGGCACGGGGACCATGCCCACAGCCCTGTGCCAGAGCTGTCCTTGGGGACACAGCAGCCCCTGGAGAGCCCCAGAACGTCCCCAGAGCTGTCACCCCAGCTCTCAGAAGGGCCCAGGCCCACCCCCAGGACAGACAAGGCGGCTCCAAAATCTCAATTCAGCCGCAGCAAAGGCCAGGGCAGCGTGGCAGGATAAAAGGACATCCCTCCTGCACCCAAGGGACAGTCACACACTTCTGGGGGAGTGCTGACAGCAGCCCTGCCCCAGAGCAGGCTGCAGGAACCCCAGGCACAGGGACACAGCTCTGCTCCTGCTGGGACCTTGAAGAGCTCAGACAAACTGCAAGGGCAGCCTGTGCTCCTGAGAGAGCAGCACGAGGACAGGCTGAGCAGCAGGAGCCAGCCCTGGCTCCCAGCAAGGTGACACCAGGACTTGGCACCCTCCTGCTCCTGCTCTGATGGAGCCACTGCCCTGCACGAGCCCATTCCCCGTTGCTGTTTATGAGTCAAGCTGTTCCCAGGAACACAGGAAGGCAATCCCCAACCTTGGAGGCATTTAAGTACCTTTATCTCAGGCCTATCACAGTGCTGGTGCTTCTGAAACTCTCAAAATTCAAGTAGCTCAGTGTAATCATCTGAAGAATTCAGAGCAGAATGTTAAATACTCGGAAAATCCTGTATTATCACCAAGTTTTAGCAAATTATCCCAAAATGGGTGGATGGGAGGGGAATAAAACCACATTTAAAGCCAAACCAGATAGTTAAGCAAACTGTTGCCAGCTGTGCACCTTTCATTCTCACAACATGGGAATTTAAATGAAAGTAATTATTGAAAACCGTTCACGTCACTGAAAAGCCTCCAAAATTTACTTCTTCCCATGAAGAGCAATCAGAAGTGCTGCTAAGCAGGAACCAGAGGAGAGCAGGGCAGCTCATCAGCTGCAGCCAAGGGGAAACCACCCAGGGGAAGATAAAAGGAAAAAAGCTGCATGGAAATAGAGGGGAAGGTGAATTTCGGAGAGGTCAGTGGAAACCCAAGGAAGTTTCAGGAGCTTCATGTAAAAATCTCATGGCTCAGGTACACGGAGGCACTTTTCCTCCAGGTGAACACTGATCCTACATTAAAGCAGCACCTTCCTTGATCCACTGCAGTCATTTACTCCCACGTCCACTGGGAACCCCTCCTGGACATAAACATGGAAATAAACTGGAAATGCGAAATAAACCAGCGCAGTGAAGACCCAAACACACCCACCTTTGATATGGAATAAACATTCTCTTTCATAAAGCTTTTTTTCTTGAGGATTACTCATTGAGAAGAACTCATTTAAAAATCGTTGAAAAACTATGTTAAATTAGCTAAAGCATTGATAAATACAAGGTTTTCTCAAAAGACATTGCACACTAACTATGGAAGGGAGAAAAAGCCAAGGCACAACTCAAATAGGACATTCCTTAACACACTTGTGAAAGCTCAGTACAGGGTGGCCTGATTCTCATCTCTCACCACGTTACACCTTCCCAAAGCAGAGAAGAAACACAATGTCATGTTCACCTCCACGTCCTGAGTCCTGCACAGCAGCCTCAGCTCGATTTAACATGAAACAGGCCTGGTCTCTGCAAGAATTCCCTGGTTCTGCTGTATTCCTTTTCTCCCACCGTTTCCATGGTCCAGGGTAACATTAGGGAGGATTTTCCCCCAGTGAATGGTCTAGGAAAGGACACGTTTTCCAGAAATCATGGCAATAAGGAGGTTTAACTTTTAGTGGGGATTGCTGAGGTAAAACCCCCTGGGTTCCTTCCCCACAACCTTCAGTGACAGGAAGGAAAACTCTTAATAAATCAGTGTCCAAGAGCCATTAGGGCAAGTCACTCCAAGAGTGCCCCTGACACATCTTTAAGTACCTGGAAGTTGCTTTAGTATCCATCTAACAACTTTTTAGGGTTTCATTGGTGTTGATATGGAGGCTGAACACAAGAATAAAGCCTTTTTCTGGTGTTTCTGGAATTGCTACAGGGTTACTTCACACTGCAGCAGAGAAATGGCAGGCAAAGTATCTGAAATTATTCTGGTGATGAAAAAATGCAGACAAATTAATCCCACAGCCTTGTCATTTACATTACTCATTATCCCACTTTCAGGAAAAGAAGCAAAACTGTACAGTCAAATATTTACTGCAGCCTTTATGCTGCAATGTCTTCCTATAGCAAAACAGCTGTAAATTTTGGCTGCAAAAGATTGGGAATTAAAGAAAGCAGAAGTGAGGCCTGTGGGCAAAAATAGGAAGCAGAGATTATAAACAACCCGTTGTAGGTCAAAGGTTATTTGTAGATCAGTTACCACAGGGGCTAAAAAAACCCCTGAGCCCAAAGCCATCAACATGATACTTCCCACAGCTCAGACTTAATATTTAGTCTTCTCTGTAGTAAAAAATTAGACCTAATGAAACAAAAATATAACACTTGAAAAATGAGAGCTTCTGTGAGGTTTAACAGCACTTGCAAAACTTTTACAGAAACCCCAAGGCTGATATGAAAGCTCCAATGTAAGAAGTGAAGCAGCACAAACAGGGGCAGGCACCTGCCCCAAACTCCCCATTTTTCAGTTTTGTTTTTTTCCCTCCCCCTGCAGAATGTTTTTTTCCATCACAAAAAAAAATTTAAAATATACATTTCAATTTATAAAGACACAATATACTTCAGAGCTGCTGTAATTCCAACTTAGAAGAGGACTTTTGCCCCTCAGCAACTTTACCATCAGCAGAATTCATTTCTAAAAGCAAACACTGATTTGTTCTAAACCCATTCTGAGAGATATTCTGGAGGAAAGAGGAAAGGCATGAGATGTGTAGGTTTGTCAGATGCTGATAAGATCCATACTATTCCAGCATTCCTTCCCAGCTGTCACCTTTCCAGGCCTCCAGCCTCAAAATCCAACAGGATCCTCGAGTCCACCAACACTTGAGCAGTAATCTGAGTTTCCTTTCTCAGCAGGATGAGTGAACTTGTAATTGTCTCATCCTCCCCTTCCTTTTTAACTCACACAGTGTTACTATTTACCACCCAGAGATTTGTGCTATCACAGCACTGTCTCACAAGAACCTCCGGGAGGGGAATGGAATCATCCCACAGAAACTGAGAGCTTTTTAAATATCATTACAGCAATGCTCTGTGCACATCCAGACTGAACACTCGTGATGCTTTAAATCAGTGTTTTCCACACTCATACACTGCTAGAAAACAACCCAACTCCATTTTCACGGAGCTACCTGCCTTCCAAACCCAGAACAAAACCGAAAGCAGTCTCCCAAAGGCTCCCCGCAGCCAGAGGACACCTGCAGGACAGAACCCGAGGCTCTTTTAGGGCAAAGGAGCGGCTCCCCAAGGCACCCCAGACCCCATCTCCTGTGCAGGAGTGCCCCACGGGTCCCTGCCAGGCTTGGGGTGGAATGCCAGGGTTACATAACCCTGAGAAGAACATCAGAGATGTCGGATCCAGGCAGGGGAAGAGTTAAGCAGAGCCGGGCACGGTGCGGGTCACAGGCAGATCTCGATCCCATCAGATGCTGCTTTGGTTTAGGTTTTCTTTAATTACCCGATGCCACTCGAGCCCCACCGGGTGACACAAAATGTATTATCCCGCCGTAATGTCAGAATTTAAAATTAGATTCGCTCTCCATAAATACACTTCACCCAGGCTCAGTGGCTCCGTCCAGCCATGACGATTATTTTATGTAACATCTTTCATAGCCCGAGACCTAAAAACTGCACTAAAAATCAGCAGCTGCCTTGGCTGGCTGAGGATTTTCTCTTCCGTTTATCTGAGGAGAATTCGGGGTGAAAAGGAAAGAGTTTCACAAGATCAAACAGCGAAGCAGCGAGAGAAAAAGCGAATTACATAAAGTCCAAATGTACTTACGGTCTCCTTATTGGGAAGCAACTCCTTTCGGATTCTGAAGAAGTTCTTGCCGTACTGCCTCAACCCCTTAATAAACCGTTTCTGTGATAAAAGATAGCAAAAACAGCGTGTCAGCAGCAGCAAAGAAAAAAAATATTTAAAAAAAAAAAAAAATTAAAAAAAATCCCCCAAACGGCGGCTGTGAATCGGCAGCGGAGCCGAGCGGCGCCGGGAGCCCGGGGAAGCGAACGCACCTACAGGGCTGCGAACGGGGGAAAGGCTCGGGAAAGATCCGAAAAATCCCAGCCGCATTCCCTTCCGCCTCCAACTTCCAGCGCTCGGAGCTCCGCCGGGCCGGTGCCGCTGCCGGAGCCGCTCGGGGCCGGTCCGCGGCCGGGCACAGCGCAGCCGGGGCTCGGGGCTGGGGCAGGTGCCGCAGGGGTTAAAGGCTCGCAGCCCCCGCGTTCCTGGCGGGGCTGGCTCGGGCCGGGGCTGGGGCTGGAGCCGGAGCGGGGCCGAGCGGAGCCGAGCCCCGGAGCAGCCGCGCAGGGCCGGGCGGAGGCGGCGGCGCCCAGCGTGTGATGGCGGCGGGGCTGGGCGGGCGGCTCCGCGGGGCGCGCCGCAAAAGGCGGCCTGGATCGCCGGCCCCGACACCGCCCCCGGCAGCCCCGGCAGCGGCCGCCGCCCGGCCCCGGCCCCCGGCAGCTCCCAGCGCCGAGCGGCCGCCGGCAGCGCTCCCTCCTCGCTCCGGCTCGTCCTCTCCCTGCCGCTCGTCCTCGTCCTCTCCCCGGCCCTTCCCCCGGTACAGCCGCGGCCGGCGGCCCCAGCCCTGCCCGCGGCCCCCTCACGGCCCCCAGCACAGCCCCACAGGAGCCGGCAGCAGCAGATGTGGGGCTGAACAAAGTGCCTCTCTCTGCAAGGGACATTCTAGAGAAGGGCTTCTTCCTTTCCCCTGAACGTCAAAATAAAAAGGCTTTTTCCTTTCCTATCAACACCGTACACAGCTATAAACAACAAGCAAATAGCAAATTTCTGCCTGCAAAGCCGACAGGGGATGTTGAGTATGTGGGCCCTACTATTCCAGGGAAAGAAGGGAAATGATAATTCTTAATTCCCTAAAAAGAAACAAGGAGAGAAAAAAAAAAAGGGGGGTCTTTTCCTTTCATATAAACACTGTGCACAGCTAAAAAAAAAAAAAAAAAAAAAAAAGGCCTTTTCCTTTCCTATAAACACTGTGCACAGCTATAAACAACGAGTAAATAACAAATTCTATCTGCAAAAAAGATAATGGATGCTGAGTACGTGGGCCCTACTATTCCAGGGAAGGGAGGGAGATGAGATTTTAAAATCCCCTGGAGAGAAACGAGCCTCAAGTTGGCTTAATGTATTTTGGATCGCAAACACCTGCTGGAAGGAGGTGGGCAGGGATCGGACTCCCCAAAAGGTGAATTCCCTGCTCAAAGGGTGCTCTCAGCTCCCAGCACAGGAAAGAGCCGCTTTGGATCCCGCAGGTTTGCTCCCACAGGGATCTATCCTCGCCTAACCCTGACCCTCAGAACCAGCAAGACTGCAGAGCTCGCCAGGAACGTGCCCGGGGGCACGGAGACGGGAATTAACCACCCTTGTAAAGGCTTGGAGATTACAGTCCCTCGCAGTGTGTCATTTACTCATCCTGCTCCTTCCAAAGCAGCCCACGCAGCACCCGGGACTGAAGCGTTCGTTTCAGGGGTGTCTGAGCTCCCAAAGGTGGGAAGTTTTACTGACAGCAAGGCACCAGCCCCCAGACACGGGCAGAAATCACCCAAGTACCTACAGAGCGGGATGCTGAGTGCCCAGAGTACAGCTGCTCCCTAAGGCACTCAGACACTCCTTTTTAGCAGGAGAATTTTCCCAAGGAATTCTCATTGTGCTGGGGTGGGTGCATCACTCCCCTGGCACCGCAAACCTCTGGCTGGTGCTCTGGGCAGGAGAAGGTGGCAGCAGCAGTGACAAACACAGCCCAACGCCAGTGCCAGCATCCCAAAGAGCAGTGCAATTCCCGTCTGCAGGAATTCACCAGCTAAATGGGGAACATGGAAAGGCAGGCACTCAAAGGGAACTGCAAAAAAATGAGAACACCCAATTCCTGTTCCTTATTTTGCCCAAGACTTACTGTGGTGCACTTGAATTCTTGGGCACCCATTTAATTTATTATTTAAGATTCTCTTTTACCAAACAATGTTATATTTGGCTTGCGTTGTGATTCAACTCTATTAATAAAACCTATGACAAAACTTGTTTTCCTTTGACCCCATGGGATGTCAGAAGTCCCTTCTGGAAATGCAAGCCTAGCACAGAGCCAATCTGAATAACAGAATTAGAGGGACCTTGGAATGCTGCTCCAAATTTCCAAGTGGGAATGAAGTCAATCCTTCTGGCCAGTTCTGCTGTCACCTTTATTGATGTACAGAACTCTCCCTGGGCCACTGAGGCACTGACAGATACCCAGCTCTAAAGCAGCTTTGTGCCTCTTGGAAAGGCAAGGGAGAGATGCTTCTTAACATGCAAATAACAACAAAGAACACAAGAAATAATTTCAGAAACTCAGAAATTCTAGAGCTTAAATAATAATTTTTTTAAAAAAGCAGATCTTCCTTCCTATTCTAGACTTCCATTAATTCAGGCATCATGGCCCATTCTCCCTGCAGCAAGAACAGCTACTCCTTTTCTCCAAGTCAAGCCCAACAGAGACCTCAAAATGGCTTTAAACATAACAGAACGAAATAGCTGCACACCAAATCAGAGGTGACCTGTTGCTCCCCGGTGTCTCACAAAGCAGACTGCCCGACACTGATTGAATTTGCTCTCCCCTGCACAAACGGCATGCACCAGTGCTGCAGGAGATGCTGCACTGCTCACAGGAGGCATCTGAGAGCGACAGCTGCCAAGCTAAAATAGCCTCGAACACAGGGCTGAGGCTCAGACCTATGGATAAGTTTGGGTAAGAAGTGCAAGTGGCTCTGGAGCACAATGGTTTCATTTTTACAAGTACATCATTTGGATTTTTAGGACAAACATTTCAATTTTTACCACTTCTGCTTAACTTTAAAAGATTGCTTATGACAGGATTCTGTCAGCGTTATTGTTCGTGCCGCTCGCTGAAGACAAACTGTGCCACAATTAACGAAGTGCCGTGGCTAATGAGGGCTGTGAAGCAGCTTTAGGAAATCCCACGGCTTGTGGGGCAGCCAGTGCTGACAGCCAGGGCTCAGTTTTATGGGGTGGTTCCCATGGCTGTTGACCAGCCCCAGCACGAGGCCTCTCATGCCATTTGATAATTTGATGAAATGCACTCGATGCTGCAGCATCCCGCGTGCAGCCAGGCAGCCATAAATAACCCGGGCACAACCAGGAACGAGCATGTTCACGTCTGCCTGCGTGCTGCTCGCAGGTCCCGTATTTCATCCCGAGGAACAAACCTCCTGACAAGATACACAAAGCCGTTCTGCCGTGCCTGACACGTTTGTCACGGGGCTGGCAGTGCCAGGGCTGAGCTCGTGCGTCAGGGTTTCCATCATCCCCAGATTACAGGCTGGCAGGAGGAACCGCCTGCTGCACCCCGTGTGCTCCTGCACCTCAAAATCCCCAAATAAAGCTGCTGCTGAAAGGGTGCCCCAGTGACATCCGCTGCAAAAACAACAACCAAAACTTCCAGCTGAAGGTTTCCACCTGAAACCTTCAGAAAGGCAGCACAACTCTGATGAACCTGCAAATTCACCACTGACGTGGTGCTGCAATCAGGTTTAGAGCTCGTTATTTTCTCTAAGAAATTCCATGTGCTGTTCCATTCCCTCCCTATGATTTCCACCTGGTTAATGAGTGAAGAGCATTGTGTAATGCAAAACATTTGCACACAGGGCCTCTTCTGATCTTTCTCAATCCAGGAAATGAGGATTTTATTTCTCAATCTTTCTAATAAAAAAACAAAATCAAATCACCTCTTTAGCCTATGTCCAACAACAACAAGTTCTTCTCTCAACATTTTCCTTAATTCTAAGCAAACAAAATGGGAGATTTTGCTATTATGAAAGCAATAGGTTTAGTGCATGTCTGGAAAGGCCAGGTTTTCCAGGCAGATGCCACTGGAAGTTGTCACCACCTTCCATATTTAATTTAAAGTTTTTTAATAAATATGGTAGGGAAATTTATAGAGTTTTCATTAACAGCAGATAAACACTAAATACATGAAAGCATCTTTACTTCTTGATCTTCACAAGCTGCCAAACTTCAGCGTGCAGCACATTTAGAGATATTTGAAAATAAAATCACGTTTTCACCCAGCTCTCTCAGGCAAAGACACGGAAAACCAAAATATTTTGGTGGTATTCATTAGATACCAGCCTGTATGACAAGGCAGGGATGTTCCCACTGGAAATTCAAAGCCCTGTGCAGAGTGCAGCCCTGGTCACCCACACGTGACACAAACCCTACACTCCCCAGGCCATCTGCCCGTGAGATCAAGTGTCCTCTCTAAACAAACTGACAAGGAATAGATCAGCTGAAAGCCTTCAAGGTGCCCCACAATTTGCTCTCTCCCTCCCAACTGCATCGCTTTGTCTTCCTGAAAAATTATACTGAAAAACGAGAGGCTGGCCCCAAGTGTGGGGGACTGAACCCAAAGCTCTGCGGGAGAGGCACCTCCCAGCCTGAGCTGAGTACCCACAGCAGCCACAGACGAGTCATTAACAGCTCCCTCGAGGGAATGCCAAAAGATCCTGGATGATAATGACCCCCCTTCCATGGAGCTGCTTTTGTTGGGAACAATGGAGCTCCCATGGTACCTCTCGCTGGCTGGAAATATTGGTATTAAGTGAGCGTGAGCACAGCTGTGTGTAAATGACACATATAAACAGATTAGATTTGTGTATTTATACTGGATGCAAACACATTAATAGCACATTTGCATACCCAGTTGGCTAAATGAGATTGCATGCAGAGCAGGATTACTGGTTACAAACACATTTATTTAGGATTTTCAATAAAGTATTTATATTGCCATTCAGGAGGTCAGAGTGGATTCATCATCCTTTTTCTCCTCTTTGCCTCCTCAGACACACACAAAT